TAAAATTATCTGAATTAGAATCTGTATACTGGTGGCGCCACAGAAATTCACAAAAAGGAGAGTGTAAAATATCCTCTGTAACGCCGGTAACATCTGGCATTTGACCATATGCATTTCCTTCGTACAAACAGGACACTTAATAATGGCTACTAAGTAAACTTTCATTTACACACCAGTCGATTAATACTCTTTTTCCTCTTTCTTTCCAAATCGTACAGAAATTTCAAATTAATCTTACTACGTTCAGCCATTCTACCATCTAAACCACAAAAGAAGTAATGTACTTCCTAACCAGCACACACCACAAGCCCTTACAAATCTTTTCCCATAATTCAAAATTTACCACAATCACACAACCGATTGCATCATAATAGGGTTTCCATAACATTCAACTACTCAGGTTACTATAAATGAAACAACAACTTCGCAATAATACAAGGGGCACCCTTCAATCTACTCTAACCAATGGTAAAAATGTATCTAGATACAAATAAAGAAGTTGTATGTTTCAAAATATGATATTAGTAATCTTGAAGCTGTCTAAGAATATTTAGAACTCCCAAATATGCATCTTTTCCAATAAAAGTGACATTATATGATATGATAGTCGAAAGTTGTTGCATTAGGTATCATTGTATTTTGGCTCAATGATAAAACTGCCTTTTGGTTTTAGGATTAATAAATATGTAATAAATATTGTTCAGTTATTAGAACAGTTTAGCTTTAAGATTACATCATTTCTTCTGTACTTGGCGCCTTGCATGGTGCGAATGTTCATTACAGTAACCCTGTAAACCCTCACTCAGTTTTTTTATTGCTGTTGTTGTTAGTAGTAAGTCATCGCTTGAAATATGGCACACATGGGATTAAGGGTGTAGAATACAATATTAATTATAATTAGTAAAGTCCATTTCTTTAAAATTTTATTATTTTTATATCAACGCCTGCATCGCATGAACATTTAATAGTCCGTCGAGCCGGAGGTTAAGGATATCGAATACTTTTGTTTTGTTTGCATTATGCATAACTTCATATAGAGTGTTTGGAATGCTTTCATTTTCGTATGGATTACGCAATTAAGGTTGGATACTGTGTCATCGTTCACTTCTGGTGTTGCTGTCGAAAAATCTCCAATCACGGTAAGTGATAAATTATTTATTTGTTCATGATGAGTGAATTGAAAGCGATTAAAGCTGGCAAAAAAAAGCTTAAAATGCAGTATCACAATGTTTGAAAATAAGGTAAATTCTACAAGTGGATGAAGCAGATATTTCCTTATTGGAGTTATACGAATCAAAAATATTAGAATTTAAAAAGGAATTAAGTAAATTTTTCACAAAAATAAGAGTTTCGATTCTTTATTTGCGCAATTGTGAAGGAAAAGGAAACTGACGAATTCATTAAGGAAAAGGAAAATGTAGTAGATAATCTCGATGAAATTCATTTGAAAAATTTATTAAAAGAAAAAATTTCTGAGATCAGTTCTCAAAGGAATAGCTATTCAAATGAAAACGGTTCGAGTAAAGACATAATTGTTTCGGATATAAAATTTTCTAAATTGTCTCTTCCAATATTTAGTGGGAAAATTGAAGAATGAATCGAATTTGAGGATTTATTTTCCGCAGCTGTGCATAAAAATAGCAAATTAACTAATGTGCAAAAATTGCAATATTTAAAGAGTTCGTGTAAAAAATATTAATCAATTCATTCCAATATAAATAAATATTATTCCCTTCCAATTTTGGATTCAAATTATGACATAGCATGGAGTTTGTTAGTTGAGTGCTATTGCAACAAAAAAGATTTGATCAATTCTATCAAAGAAATTAATTTCTATACCTCAAATGAGTGATTTTACTTCGTCGCTTTTAAAATTTATCGATAAGGTGCATGGATGTTTACGATCCTTGGAAGCATTAGAGCAAAAGGTGGAAGAATTTTCAAATATGTTAATTGTTTATTTGTTAGTTGAAAAGTTGGATAGAAATACTCGGTGTTGTTGGGAAAGATCACTTTAGAAAGATGAAATAGGAACAGTTAAACAAATGACATGTTTTTTGAAGATACACGCTCATACCCTATCACATTACAAACCTCCACGTGGGGAATTGAAACGTTTATTTAATACCAAAGCTCTTGCATCGTTTTTGGAAAATTTAAAAAATTTTCCTTATTGTAAAGGTGATCATTTATTGTTCAAATGTGTGCAATTCTTAAATTTAACAGTCAAGAAATGATTTGAATTTGTAAAGACAAAAAAACTGTTTCAATTGTTTATCTTCGGTCCACACAATCAAGGACTGTGAAAGTTCTAATACTTGCAGAAATGTCAGCAATTTCACAATTCACTCTTACATTTTGATCTAAGTGAAGAAAATTTCAATAGAGCAAATCACTCATCGAATAAAAACATGAACAAGACTAATAAATTTAGCAGTAATCTTTCTCCAAATGCTGATACATTTACTCCAATTGGCAAGCAGCCAAAAGGTTAGTGACACTAATGAAACCAACCAAGCAAAGTTCATTAACAAGGTACTGCACTGAATATTTCCACTTCTTTTAATAAACAAGTTCTACTTTCAACTGTAATTATTTTCGTTAAAGGTGATGATGGGAAATTTATTTCGCTGAGAGCCTTGCTTGATTCTAGTTCTGAAAATAATTTCATTACTAAAGAATGTGTTGAATTATTGAATTTGAAGAAAACAAAAATAAACTCTTCTATTTCGGGTATCAATGATACAGTTATGAGTGTTAAGGAAAACGTTTTAGCAACCATCGCTAATGCTACTAGAGATTTTATTCGTATGTTACAATTTTTTGTTGTTCCAAAAATAACTTGTGTAACACCTGCTAGATATGTAAACATTCCTGATCTTAAGCAGTTGCAACCCATTGTTTTAGCTGATCCAGAGTTTTATAAACCTGGTCAAATACATGTTTTATTGTCTAACAAAGTATTTTTTGATTTACTGGGAACAAATGGAATAAATATGCAAGACCTGATTCTCCATCAGTCAGATTTTGGATACATCGCTAGCGGGTCAGTACGCATGCCGCAGCAAGGCAATGTTAATAATTATCGTGGGTTTGTTGAAAATGTGGGTATTTATCTGACAATATGAGAAGGTTTTGGGAGATTGAAAGTATTAATGAAGCAAAAAAAGAAGAGTCAGGAAGAGGAATTTTGTGAATAGCACTGTCTTCATATACGCAGGAGGCAAGATACTGCAGATATGTAGTGGAAATTAAGGAGGAAGGACTTAACCTTTTAGGTGAATCGAGAGAAAACGATAGTAAAAGACTTGTGCTTCACTCGCAATCCCACAGTGAAACCCTTATATAAAGATTTCATTAAGGAATATAACAAATTAGGCCATTCCGAAGAAATTGATAAAGGGGATAGCTCTAGTTTCTCATATTGTCTTCCTCATCATGTGGTTTTCAGGTCCAATAAACCTAGCACTAAACTTAGGGTAGTGTTTGATGCCACTGCTCCTACGAGTACTGAAATTTCGTTAAACAATATTCTACTGAATGGAGGGATAGTTCAAGGCAAACTATTTGATATTATTTGCAGATTTCAAAGTTGCCTTCACAGCAGACATTGTAAAAATGTCTTGTCAGATTTTGATTAAAGAACATCAAAGAGATTTATTACGCATGTTATGGAAGAGTAATGAAGAAGAACCAGTTAAAGGCTATAGACTGAAGACTATAACTTACAGTACTTCCAACGTACCATATCTGGCAACACGCACACTTAACCATTTTGCAGAGGGTGAAAGAAACAATTTTTCATTAGCAGCGCAAATAGTAAAAAAAAGGGATTTTTACGTCGACGTACTCTAATAGAGGCTAAAGAATTGCAACCGTAGTAGATTAACCTATTATCACGTGAAGGAATGCATCTGCACAGATGGTGTGCTAATCACCCTGATCTTATGCAGTTTCCGGATAGACAAGAGGAATATTCTTTCAGTAATTTCTATGACGATCAGAGCATCAAAACTTTAGGATTATTATGGAATCCAAAGGTAGATTGTTTTCCGTACAAATCAGCGATCAAGAAACCATCTACTTACACAAAGAGAACAGGGTTGTCTGAAATTGCTCGCATTTATGATCCATTAGGACTGCTTGGTCCAGGGATAACAAAAGCAAAAATCTTCATCCAAAGACTTTGGTTATTGAAGCTTTGGAAACGATCCGCTACCCGAAAGGATAATTAAGGAGATTGGCAACTTTTTATTGATTCAATGCAATCTATCAACAATTTGAAAGTCAGTAGATATGTTTTACAGGATAGTTTTTCTGATATACAAATTCATGGATTTTCAGATGCATCAGAACACGCATATGGAGCAGTCGTATTTACGCTGTAGAAGTGACAATAATTTATCTTCACATTTGCTTTGCAGTAAGCCCAGAGTAGCTCCACTAAAAACCGTTGACAGTACCATGACTGGAACTTTACGCAGCTGTACTATAGCACAGCTTGTTACAAGTGTGGTGCCTTTATTGAAATTGGACATCAGTAAAATATGTCTGTGGTGTGACTCAACCATAGTTTTAGTGTGGCTTCAGAATCCTCCACACGTACTAAAAACTTTTGTTGCTAACTGAGTGTTGTAGATCCAAGAGCTAACACAGACATACCAGTGGAATTATGTTCATTCAGAGGAGAACCCACCAGACCTTATTTTCCGAGGACTGAATTTTGACAAGCTGCATGATGCTGATCTCTGGTTGAAATGTCCTCCATTCTTCAGGAAAGGTGTCATACCTAGCAATAATATTGACTTTGAACAATTAGAAAAAGCAGAGACATTTTCTAATGAACTGAGAAAAGAACTGACATTGCTTGTTTATGCACTTCGCCTTCAAAATTAATTGATTATGTCATAAATATCACTAACAATTACTTAAAATTATTACGTATTATTAGTTATATTTTCAGGTTCATTTGGAACTCTAGGTGTGCAAAACAGAAAGGAGTGCAGAGAAGAACAGGTGGGGTAAGTTCAAAGGAGTTTAAATAAGGCAGAATCCTTTTTAATAAGAGAAGTTCAAAAATGTAGTTTTTATTTAGATTACAACTCCTTCGCACAAGGAAAACCCATTAATCATAAAAGTCATTTAGTTTCTTTGGACCCTTTTTTGGATGCAAATGATGTAATGAGAGTAGGAGGCCGATTACAAGGGGCCAATATAATGTTTTCACAAAAACATCAAATAATTTTGCCTGTTAAATGTAAACTAACTAAATTGATTGCTGAACATTATCATCAGAAATATTTACACATAGGTTCGCAAGCATTATTGTGTTTTATGAGACAGAACTTTTGGCCATTACAAGGTAGGAATTTAAGTAGAAAGATTACCCGTGAATGTATAATTTGTAGTAAAACTAAACCAGTCACTATCGAACAAATTATGGGGTCATTACCTGCAGAGCGTGTTAAGTCTGAGCTCACCCGTTAACCATGTCAATACTAATTTTTGTGGCCCATTTTTCATTAGGTACAAGGGACGGAGGAAAGGAACTCTTCATAAGGTTTATTTAGCTCATTTTATTTGCCTTATAAAAAAGGCAGTGCATCTCGAACTAGTGAGTGACCTCATTACTCATTTATTGCCACCTTAAAGAGATTTCTCGCTAGATGCAGAAAATGCTCAATCATTTTCTCAGACAACACAAAAAACTTTGTTGGCGCAAATTGCAGAGAATTAACAATTTAATTAGAAATCCTGACAAAAAATTAGCAGATTATTTAGGTGAAGAAGGAATCGTTTGGAAGTTTATTCCCCCATGGGACACCTAATTTTGGTGGACTATGGGAATCTGGAATTAAATCCGTGAACTATCACTTAAAGTGGATTATAGGTAATGCAAGGCTGACTTTCAAGGAGTTATTAACTGTAGTAACTCTGTCTGTTTTAAATTCTCGCCCTATTACTCAATTATCTTCCGATGTAAATGATTTAGAGGCCTTAACACCAGGCCATTTTCTCATTGAAAGACCCTTGAATGCTATACTAGAACCCGAATTAATTGAAAATAGACTGTCAAGATGGAAAGGAACTACCAGATTTGTCCAATTGATATCGAATCATTGGCATAGGGACTATTTAAACACACTACAACAGAGTTCAAAATGGAAGGTAAAACAAATGAATATTAAAATCGGTTTGCTAGTACTAGTTAAGGAGGATAAGCTTCCTGTCAGTATATGGGTGTTAGGGTGCATTACAAGACTTTTTCTTGGAGCTTACGGTAAGGTTAGAATAATAGAAATATGTATAGCAAAAGGCATCATTAAGCGTGGAATTACGAAAATTGCAATTCTACCCCAGGAAGAAGCTTCCTAAGTTAATTCTGTTAGCTTATTATTATAGAACTTGTATTGTGTTTAAAAATTTTGTATTGGAAACTGAATATTATTGTATTTAATTAAGATATATTATTTGTATAGCTACATTGTATAAGGTTGTAATTGTACAATTTTATATGTTATTATGAGTATTATCGCAGGAAATTATTAAAGTAACCCTTTAATGCCGGTGGGTATGTTCAGTCATTAGGACAGTTTAGCTTTAAGATTACGTCATTTTTTCTCTTCTTGGCACCTTGCATGGTGCAAATGTTTATTACAGTTACCCTGTAAACGCTTGCTCAGTTTTTATTGCTGTTGTTGTTAGTAAGTCATCACTTGAAAGATGGCACTCATGTGATTAAGGTTATACAATAAAATTTTAATTTGTACAGTCCATTTCTTTAAAATTGTATTATTTGTATATCAACACCCGCATCACATGAACAGATATAAATAATTGAGTAAGTAAAATAACATAAAAATACAATTCTTTGTCTTTAATGTGGAGCTAATTAAATAGCATTAGCAAGACATGTACATGAAGTAGCACAAGATACACAATAGCTGCAATGCTACTGACTGATATCAAAATGCTTCAAAACTATTTTCTTTTGGTCTGCATATGATCCAGCAGCTTTAGCAAGACATGTACATGAAGTAGCACAAGATACACAATAGCTGCAATGCTACTGACTGATATCAAAATGCTTCAAAACTATTTTCTTTTGGTCTGCATATGATCCAGCAGCTTTATAAGTTATTCATAATTGCTTGCATTATTATGAAGGAAAGAGAAAAATGAATGAACAAGCTTTTATTGTGTGTCTATTTTGAATGAAATAACAGTAAATAATCATGTAATATGCACATTGACATTTCAGCTTTGTGAAGAGTAAAAAATGCATGCAAACATACATAAATTTTAAGCAAAGCATTCCGATAACTGTGTGGTGCTGTATGCATTAGCACATACCTTAAAATATAAACAATATGAAATAAATTCATGTGCATAACTGACATGATATAGCTATGCTCAGATTATGTTGTATACTGTAACTTCACATCTCACTGTGTATAAATAAAACCAAATTACTAGTGAATTGTTAGTGATCAGTGAAATGTGAACAGCTGCGCATTATGCACCATCAAGAAATACAGAGAACCAAATTTTTAATCCTTATTTAAAGCAAAGTGCATAAATGGGAAATATCACAAACGGAAGATAAATAAAATTTTGATTTTCATTTTGTTCAGCTTCTAGTATAATAAATCCTTTTAAAAATTTTAAACATGTTTGATGTATACTTAAGTAATTTCTAGTAAATATTTTTTTTTTTTTTAATTTTTTGCAGCATCATGAACAAATATCAGACATTCGAAAATGAAAGTGATAATGATCTGCCTGCAACAACAATAGAACCAGAACATTTAGACATTAGCTTGAGTACATCGAAACCTGGAGTCAATTCAGCTTCCCCCAAAATCACCAGATCAGTTGGACAGTCTAGATTTGTTGAAAATTCCCTTGAAAATAATGGAAGTTCTCACACTGCTGTGGTTATATCTGATCCTGCTGAAATTGAAGAAACTGATAATGACATTGGGTAAGTTTTACTATTTGATTACTACTCTGTATTTTGGTATTTCTATGCTGTTCAGTCCTGAAAACTTCATTTGATGCCAAGATTATTTTGACAATAATCTAGTGATGGAAAGTTTCAGTTTATGGTCTATGTTAACCCTTGGTTTATGTTGATACAAATTTCATAAAGATTATTGTTCTAATCTTTAACTAAATATTTATTTATTTTTGCAAAATTTGACTGACGGTAGTACTTGGCATCAGCAGTAGGTAAATCCTTCAGCTAGTTAAAACTGTGATGTGGCTTCCTTCAAATCAATCTTGCCATCTATGTGAACTTTCAGTGTTTCATGGCCATATATGTTTTCTTTAGTGATGCTTAGGTTTGTTTTATGGGAATTTTAATGGTCTTAATTTTTCAACAGGTATTCCACGATGGAAAAATTTGATAGTTTCTCTTTTCTTGTTTGGTAAATTCTGGAGACATTTTAAAAATGTTGCTATTCTATACAGCAGGACAGTTGTAACTTAATGTATTTATTGTGGATACCTAGAATCCACCAGTTATTTAGCTGTCTCATTACTGAGATCATTGTCCAGGTGGCAGTCAAATTACACCCAAGAGAAAGAAAAGCTAGCTTCATCCTAATTTCGATGAACACACCTATGGAGACAGATCCACAAGAGGATCAGCAACTGATTTTACTCTTGAAAACAGGGAAGTTTTGTCCAAATTTTGGAAGACAATTATGTGGAGAAGAGATCTAAGTGTCTGCCACCTCTCTTCCCCTCTCATGAAACTTCTAAGGTCACTTTCAGTTCACCAATATTTAAGTGTCCCAGACTGCATTGACACTATGCATTTATAACCAGCCATCTCCAGGATTTGAACTTGGGTCCAGTGATACGGCAGCCAGCATCTCTAATCACTATACCCTCCCAATGAAGGCTATGAAACCCTATGAAAAAGTTAACAAATGTGAAATACATCGAAGAAATTAAATGCATACTAGAAACTAATAGAAAAATATTTTTCACATAATGTTTGGAATTTAAGAACACTGTTATTATAAGAGAAGAAACATTTATTGTTAACTAATTACTGTGCCCCGACACCACGCCATGTTCATAACATCAGATTATACAAGTATATGTTCTTATATTCATCAAATATCATAAATATCATATATACGCATAAAGACAAAGTAAGAAATTTAGAACTAATTTTTCACAAAGGCCAAAAATTGAAGTTCTTAAAAATAGTAAAGAATTTTTAAAATGTTAAAACCAAAACTTTTCAAACAAGTGAATTAGGATGATGCTTGTTATCGATCAATGAAAAAATACAATAATAATAAATCGAAGAATTTAAAGAAAAACGAACAATATAGAAGAGGAATTCAATCAACTTCAGTGCCACTTTGTCAGGAGGAGGAACACTGAAGTAAATTGAAATCTCTCTTCCACTAAAATGCTTGCATTTCTGTATCCAGAATTAGCTGATGAACCATTTCAATGTATTTTAATTGTAACAGTTCACCCAAGAATTCTGGCTGCTTCCCAAAGCAAGGGGGGGGGGAAACTAAGAAAATTCTAATTAGAATCTTGTACCTTAAATAAAGATAATTCTATTTAAAGAATTGAAAACATAAGTGAAATAATAAAATACTAAAATATTTCAGTGATAAATTCAAATCAAAGTTTTACCTCTAAACAAATATCACATAATCCAAATAATTTAAAATGTGAGTAAAATTATAAAACTTTAGTGAAAAGACAATTAAAACTCGCAGGAAGTAATTAACAACTTCGAGCACTTTCACTTAGAACACATTTGAAACTATGAATAACATCGTTATAATAGTGACATATAGGTTTGCTATTTTGGCTTCATTGGCGAAACTAAAATACTTTGGGGAGAAAGTAATCGCTCGAAAGACTAAAAATTGAAACAAAAGATGAAATTTTGAAACCAAAAGAAAAACTTAAATATTTCTATGAAAATTTTTAATTTTGACAAAGAAAAAGATTATTAATTAAGTGAAGTTCAAGTAAATTCTGACTCTTTTAAAACATGAATGGGAATAAAGAACATTCAGGGTAAAACTTTAATTAAATTTTAAAATTATTCTTTAAAAATAGTAGACTTGAAAATTTTCCCAAAAAGTGGTAAAAAGATTTTTAATAATTGTTTTGTATATATGAGTAGAAAAATCCATAAAATTGAATTTTGGATTTTATATTTAAAATTACAGAAAATGATAAGAGAAAGCTTGAAAAAGGAAGTAAAGGAACATTCTTAGAAAAGTAAGAAGTCTTCACGTCATAGGCTTATCAAAATGACTTTGAATACAGAAGGCCCTTGTTTAATAACAGAATAGTAATTAAGAGAAAAATATAAATAAAAATAAATCCTATAACAACTTTTAAACATCCTTCTTTATCCTTCTCTTTTGGAGCTTTCAGATAAAAAAATTCATTCTTTTAAAAAGTATTATAGGGTGTAGAATACCGCAGGTTTTTTTAAAAGACAATTAATGAATTTTAAAGGAATTTCATTTTCTTTTAAAATTTTGGTGATAATAAGAACTTCGTCTTTTTATGTTTATATTTCAATGCAAAATTTTTTTAAATTCTGCTAATTCAGTTAATAGTAGTATTTGGAATAACTTTTTAGATAAGTTGGTGTACCAATTTATTAGTAAAAAAAATTAACCTCTTTTCTTTTATCAAAAAGTTTAATTTCTGTTGGATTATGAATACTTAGATCAAGATAAAATATTTTTTTCGTTTTATTGGTTGTATTAAGTTTTAGGCACTTTGGGTAGATGTTGCTCTTTTCAGTGAGATTATAATTGTTGAAAGTAGTAATGCCATCAATATATCTATGAGTGTGTTCAAATTTACTGAAATAGTTATCAGAAAGGACTTTTAGAAATTTGAATTCTTTAGAAAATGGAAATAAATTACAAAGATCAGTGGAATATAAACTTCTCATTGGAATTCCTTTTGTTTGCATGTCAAGAAATTTTGAATGTTTAATATAGTTATTGTATAATGAAAAATGTTGAAATTCCTTCCGTTTTTGTAAATCCAGAATATTAAGTACTTCGGGAAAAAATACACGCACTACCTGACTTTGAAAATGGAGCTCCAAGGAGTAGTAGCCTGAAAATTATGCAAATTTCAGGATAGAAGCATGTCACCGAGTTATCCGAATGGTGTGACATGCACAGCTCTCCACCACACATTGAAGATATAAGGGCTGGGTATATTGGTGGGTAGTGGCTTGCATTTGTGATGTCTGTTAAGACTGCCATTCACCCCACATCACAGATGCGAGCGTCTGCAATGATGAGGGGCTCGAGCGATGTGGACAACGAATGGCACAGGGTCGTGTTCTCAGATGAGTCATTCTTCTGTTTCTCCAGTGATAGTCACTGCGTACGAGTATGGCGTCGATATAAAGACAGTCCAATCTGGCAGAATTGTGGAATGCCCCACTACGTGTAAGTGTGGAATAATAGTTTGGCAATCAATTGCACATGATTGCATGTCACCTCTTATTTCGTATTCAGAGGACTATGACAGCTCAATGATATGTGGATAATATATTGCAGCCTGTGGCACTCCGTTAGCTTCAGGGAGTGCCTAGTACCCTTTATCAAAAGGATAACATCTGACCACACACTGCACATAGCCAACATGCTCTGCAAGGGTGTACAGATGCTTTCCTGGCCACCGTTGTCGCCTGATCTCTCATCAATCAAACACATTTGGGGTGTGATTGGACACCATTTGTAGAGCCTGCCATTGCTGCGTTTAGAAGACGAACTGTGGCAAATGGTTGACAGGGAATGGAGAGTCATTTCTCAGGACATCATCCATAGTCTCATTGACTCTGTACCTAGACGTGTTGCTTCATGTATCGCCATCCAAGGTGGTTCTACAACCTACTGAGCTGATGCTGTTCTCACTCTGTATTATGCATATCATTTCAAAAAAAAGATCACTTATTATCTGTTGTCGTCTCTTTGCTTGCCGAGTTTCTTAGCTTTCTGGACACTCCTTCTTGGTGTTGCATTTTCAATTTCAGGTAGTATATAATTAAAAATTTAAAATAAATTCTAATCCGTTACCTAAGATCAGTAACTTTTTGATAAAAATGCTTTCTGCCAAAATCTGAGTAAAAATTAAGTAATAATTTGTGCACAGTAATAAGTTTAAAAACAGAAAAAGGATAATAAGTTTTGAATGCAGTGCTCTTCAGGAAAATATCCATTCTCAGTTCATTTTTGTTTTGGGACAATTCAAAAACATTTTACCAATTTGCAAATGGCTTCAGAAAAACTATTTTGAAAGTAATAGTTTAATCTTTATAAAAATACTTCAAATCCATTTCTTACATCTCTAGAATCTAATAATGTTTGTAATATATTTTTTTTTAAATTAAAAAAATTGTATCCACATGCTAAGACATTTTTGTAAGTATGTTAGTAACGAAATTAATGAATACAAAAAGAATGTGACTATTTAATTTATACTAATAAAAATTCCATAATAATTAATTCATCGTCAAATATACAGAAAAGAAAATTACTTTCTGCTTCAGACTTTGGGCCATTTTGCTAAATGAAGATACGATGCCCTATCTTAGGAAAGCTTATGGTTATCTTTTTGGCATCATTTCTAAAGAAGGTAGCTATTGGCATAAAATTGTGTTGAAAAGAGATAATTTGTTGTGGAAAGTCGTTAAGGATTTTTCTTGAAAATTATAATTAACATGTTGACTGCCACAGCACCACTTCGGATTCCGGTCTGAGAAGCCAAATAATAGCCAAATTTAATCAATCATATTATATTATTAAAAATGCTAATTATGATTTGTAACAAACATAAAAAAGTTTACAGGGTTTTTTTTTAGTAGAATAAAGAGTCCTACGAATTATCTCGTAATAAGCTTTTGTTAGACAAAGCTCTCCGCAGAAGCCCACTGCAAATTGATTCGTACAGACATGCTTC